ATCATTCCTATCTTAATCGATATTTAATCGAGCAGAACTGGCGATTTTATTAACGTAACAATTCTCTCTAATTTAGATAGATAAAAAGGCGGTAAAAAACGCTGTTTTTCGTGTCTCTTCCTCCCCCTTCTTCGATTTTTCTTTTTCTCCTTTTTTTTCCCCTCTCCTTTTTTTTTCCATCTCTCCTCGTATACACATATCCTTCTCCTCACCTACCCACCCTCCTTTTCTTTTTTTCAAGCGTCATTGAATCGGGGGAGGGGGGAAGAACTGAAGTGAAAAAGGAAGAAAAAATATATTAAATAAAAGGAATAAATGGAGATTAAAAAAATGAAAGAAAGGGGTGTAGTGTAAGGAGAAATATAGAATTGTAATTGAGTGAAGTCGGGGCTCCGTTTATTTAACACGAGATTTTTCGCTATTAACCTTTTAGCCACATTACCGACATTTTCGTGCTTCCAACATCGAACTTTTTTTTTCGTTTTCTTTTCGTTGAAGTAGAGGGATGAGGTGGGGAAGGGAGTTAAATTAAGAGAGGTGATAGGGCTGGTGTGGGTGTATGTAGTGTGATCGGAGAGAATTAAAATAACGATGTCACTTCTCCACCCCCTCTATCTTTTTCGTTTGGGAAGAAAAAACGAATGAAAAAGGGGGGGGATTCGGAAAAAGAAACATTTTCTCTTATATTCTAAATTGCTGAAAAAGGAATGATGAACTGAGGTTAGTCGCAAATTCCGATACGAAACGCATTTATAAATCGTTGAATGTGCTAATCGGTTATTAGCGTCTTAAGTTTTTTTAATTTTATTTATGTATTAATATATTTTTTATTGACTTCTTCCACTTTACTCCATTCCTTCTCCAAGCCCTTTTTTTTGTTGCATGATAAGATTACAATGTGACTGTTACATTTTATTCATGGTTGTAGTTTTTTCACTCTCTTTTAAAGATATTTTTGTGGAGTTAAAGCGTATATTAATTGCATCATGTATGTTGAAAGTTGATTGTGAAATTTGTGTTTTATAATTTTGAATATATTACCCGGTATTTCAATTGATACTTAAGGCAAGGTTCCCCAATCGAGCAAAAAAGGAACTTTAGTTTCTCCGTTTTGACCCACGGTAAATTATATGAACGCGATTTTCTCCTTATGAAATAATTAAATTATTTAATTTATTTTTTTTTATTTAATTTTATTCATTAAACCAAGTTCCGAAATTTTAAATATAAAGGTCTGAAATTTTCATTAAAAACTAAAAGTATGACTTTGTAAACTTCCTTAATCTTTAAATTTTGACAATTACGTTAAAACATTTCAGCGAGTGAAATGGAATTACATTTCAAAATTATAAATTAGTTTTTTGATTGAAATGAATATTGCGTTCATAAAATTATTTGTAGGTTAATATAGAGGCCTTAAAATAAAATTTCTTTTCTTCCTGAAAAGGTGATTTATTCCACAAAAGACAAAAACTTGGTTCGCTATTCTTGGTGTAAAAATATTTAATTGAACCCAAAATGAAAAAGTAACAAATATTTCTAAAATGCGATACATAAAATTTGTCAGACCTATTGATTTGGAGAATTTTTTATTCATGTACCCACTGAAAAATTATATATACNATTATATGATATGCAGTAGAATTAAAATTTCAAGTTTTTCCCTTAACCAAGCGGTTTAATGTATCAGGTCTTATTTCGTGTTTGTTACGCTTTCTCACAATAGTTTGTTATACTAATTTATTATTATTATTTTTTTTTTGAGTGTGTGTGTGTTTGTTTATTATCGTATACTGGTGTAAAACTCTCAACTATTTTATGTTGAGTTAAATGGTTTTATTTTGTCATTATTTCTTTAATTCATTTATGAAGAGCTCACTATATTTGGAAGAATTAATTACGACCGAGTATTTAATAAATTGCTTTATATAAGGCCTTCGAGTCATATAACATCACACACACTCGAAACCTGTTGAAGTTGAGATATTTTAGAATCTAATAAAGAATGTCAAAAGCAAAATTAACAACAATCAAGTTTATCTAATTATATGAAGACTTTTATAAGCCTCAATTACAGTCACGAATAATGCTAAACAAGAAGTGAAGATTCTCATCCTAAACTTTAATCGAATCCGAATTCTTCTCGAAAGATAAGAAAGAAAGAAAAAAAAATGGTGCGAGGGGTGGGAAGCGAGTGCCAATTCAGAGGGTCCCGAGCTTTCATTGTATTAACCATTAACTAAGATCGCGATTGAATAATGCAATTGCTTTTCATAGCACCCTAAGTCACCCGTGGCTGTTTGCTGTACTAACTAAAGCCCTGAAAAGGGAATTTTGTTCGATAATAATGCAAAGACAAAGAAAGGGGTTGACAGCGCTTCCGATGACTAGACCCTAGAAACCAATAATGTAAACAAGGCAATTAAAACTAACAGTGGTTCGTGGCTTGAAGGCAACTTTTCGAGAGTCGATCTTATGCGACCAGCTTCAAACTATTAATGACATTATCAACCCGTTGATAAAGTGCTGGAGAAGGATTTATTGTTGGTAAATTTTCCTACCATCTCTTTTCGATGACTAGTTGTGAACTCATCTGAGTGTGTAAAAGTCAAGATTTTCGAGAACTTTTCTTCTCATGTTAAGTAAATTCTTTTAATTCTTAGAGGGTTGTCTTCTGCTCCCTAACATTTATCGATGTCTGGCAAGAATTACGACTGCATATCTTAGGAATTTAGCCGTTTTTCAATCTTATGTCGATTTTGAAATCTTGTCTTATTTTTAGTTATTGGGCTATTCTTATTTTTCTTTATTCTAATCGTTGAAAGTTTGTGCAATATATAAATTTACATTTGCATGAGGAACATTTAAAAATATAACATACAAAATTTAAATACTTTACCAATGCTATGAATTTAAGCAAAAACTGCTACTGCAAGTCTTGTGATATTCAACGAAATAAGTTTGCCATGTTCGAAATGAAATCTTTTTATGAAGCAAAAAGTTTTATATTTTGGGCTTTAATTTTTTTATAGAATAAGATGAAGAAAACGATAGTCAATTTACTAATGATTTTATAATAATTGTGTATAGGTTACCTGTTAAAATTAAACAGATAAGGTAGTAATTGCATTAAGCTTTGCATCACACAATAAAATAAGAATAGTCGTTTTAAAACATTTGTAAATTTTCTAATTATTTCACAATATATATGCGCTAAAATTGCTTAATCTATACATGATAAAATATATAGATGATAAAAACAATGTGTAAAGGTGAGTTGCACAAACTTGCTTAATGAAATAAGGCGCGTGAAAACATCGTCCATTTGCAAATGATTTCAGAACAGTCGTGTGCAAACGTTGAAAATATATAATATTTTTAAGGTATGTCTTAAATTATGAGGATAAGAGTTGCTTGTAAGCTGTACGTTAAATGATTCGGTGATTAAATATTTAAATTCTGTTTGCATTCATCATCGATTAAATTAAAAAAATTTAATTCGAATCGTAAAATTATCGAAGCTACTTATTTTATAACAATAACTTAAAACTATAGTGTATTTTAAACTTTTATGAAATCTGTCGCTATAAATATCAAAAATCGAACACATTGCCTTTTTGACATATATGACGTTATATTTGATTGAATCTACATTCTTGTTTCAAGCGAAAAGACGTAAAAACATGAGAAATTCTTTTCACTTGAAATAGATGAAAATGATGCTATTTTCTTCGAAACTTCCACGAACGCATATTGCTTAATGCAATAATTTGGACTGACAGAGACAATTATTGTAAGAGGAAAATTACGAGTCTTGTAAGCAACATTAGAGAGGCCTAAAAAAAGGAATAAAATGGAATGGTTTTTCTTAAAATATTTCCTTAAACCGTTGGCGAGCAGCATGCATCTTGTTCTGATAATCATATAAATAATTCCATTTAAACATCATTTTCTATTTCTTTTCTGGGAAATATTAAATCATTCGTAGACTTCTTGTTTCTCACAAACAGTGAAAAAATAATTATGGAATTTCTTTTTTGTTTTTTTCCAAATGGAAAAGCACAGTTCTTCAATTTGAGAGTTTGAAATTAGAATATGCTTTCCAAATTTCTAATTTAAAATTAGAATATGCTTTCTAAATTTCTAATTTAATTTCCTTTAAATTATATGTTTTGTTTCATTTCTAAAAAGAAAAAATTCTGCTCTATAAAATATGACTTCTTATTGTGACTTGCTCTGAATTGCAACACTTTAAAAGTAATACCGTTTGGTTTTGAAAACACATTGAGAATTACAAAATTGTAGAGAACTTCGATGTGTTTTTATATATATATATATAGAGAGAGAGAGAGAGAGAGAGCAAGCTTCTATATATTTAGTGATACATTTAATCAGAAAATGATTAAGAAATGTGACAATGGNTAAATTAATTAAAAATTGAAACAAAATAATGAAAAGATGTAAATTTGAGTCCTAGTTAGTTTCCAAGACTGTGTTTAATTTTTTTTAAGTACTAATCACCGTATAGTATTAATTTCAGATTTTATTTAAAAAGTATACGTTAAAAGCATGCAAATAGAGATGTGCGAAAACTAATCAAAGCAGAAAACAATATTTTTATACATGCATTAGTACATTTACAGTATAGTAATTTTTATGGTTTGCGAAAAGCATTCCCATTCTTTCCATTATTGTTCTTACTAATACGAAATTCTTTTCCCATGTATTGCACATTATCCTATAGAGCGTAAAAGATTTATAAATGCCGATTAGTTAGTTTTTTATAGATTTATTTTTTCTCATTCATATGTCTCTTGTTTCACAACTTCAAATTTTTTTTTTCTCTTCTATTTGGAATATTTCTTTCTCTTATGAGGTAGGCAGATCCGGTCTGAAAGCAAAAAGAACATTTTATGATAAAAAATGTCCAACAGTTTTGAACTGGTTTCACATAAAGTGGCTCTATTTTTTATTTATTTTTTTTCCTATTGATTAACATAATGGGTAATCGTATACTCCAGGTAAGAGAAGAGAACCGATTACATTTTTAAATATATTTCTTTTTTCCTTCTTCATATATACTCGGCCATTGTATATGCTTTCTTTGCTTATGTATTTATATCTTCTCATTCCATTTCTTGTTTTGTCAGGAAAGACATGCGGTAATGACCAAACTCAAAGTTTATGCTATCATTTATTAAGAAGATTATGCTTCCGAGTTGTCATATTTCTCATGTTAGAGTTACCTGAAGATTGTAATTTATTTGGCACCTTTTACCCCATTCCTCGTTAGGAAGAATATGGCATTTTTTTAAAGTTATGTTTTAAAGGGTTTTAAGATGAGATACTCTTTTTGTAACTTACGATTGTAAAAAAAAGAAGAAAAAAAAATGTGTGCAAAAGTTTTTTATGGTACTTATGTGATTTCTTCAAAAGTTGCTTTATGGAAGACAAATTACAAAAAGCAAAGTTTTCATCGCGCTGTTAAGAAATTTTAGCTTTTATGTTAAATAGTTAAAAACTGAGGTGAGATAATCTGGGCATTAGTACCATATCATGTAACTTTCCTGTTTTGTTTGCTATTCTTATGAATTTTGTGTTATAACTAAATTTTATATAAGCTAGTTTTGCAATTGATCTTGTGTTCATATACGGCTGTGAGATCCCCATGTTTGAATGTTCTTTTGTGAATTTTGCTATTTAATTTTTTTTTCCGTTTTGGTTTTTGTAAAGGAACATATAAGTACTGTTGAGTAATTTAAATATAGATATTTCATTGCATTAGCAAGAATTGCTTATGCATTTAAAATTACACCAATAATAGCTAATATCTGTGCATCTAAGTGACTTAAACTTAGCTGAGAACACTATTCATGTAAATGAGTTGGATGATTTATTGTCGCCTTTAAAAATATGTTAATAGATTGCATGCTTATTTAAAAAATTGGCTCATGTTAGTTTGAAATTAAAAGATTGCATAGAGCTAAAAAAATTTTAAATGAGACATGGGATAATAAATAAATATGACTACAATACTAGATTGTGTGAACGTTAGCAGCAATGTTAAATTTGCGAAGATGGACTTAAATAAATTTGTCAAGTATTAAATAAACAAAGTAATCATAGTTTTAAGTGTCATAGATTTGTATAGTTTTAGTTAATCTAATAAGTAATTACATTTAAATTCCTTCAAGCTGACTCTGTTATTAGAATAAAAGTTAATTAGATTTATTTATTTATTTTTTAATTTCGTTAACGTGTCGACTGTAACTAATGAAGCTCACATCGATAAGCATAGTAAGCAAAGCAAAGAAAAAAATAAACGAACCTTCAGCTCTTAGTGTAAATAATTACATTATTTAATACGCAGCCTTCATTTTTGTATAATTAATTTCAATTGCATTGCAAATTTTTAAAAGCTTATGGTTTTATAGAAGATACTTATTTTTAAAATTTCTCACAAAGCTTTTAGCAAAACTATGAGAAAAATTGTTTTCAACAAAGCAAAATAAATAAATAAAACAATAATTCTGCCACTTTACATTAAATGTGCTGTAAATCAAGCGTGTAAATCAAATATAATTGTGTTAGGCACTAGTGTACTTGAAAAAAAAAATTATCTGAAATTTTCATAAAGAAGGTTTTGTTTTCTATTTTAAAGATTGTCTTGTTGTTCTTGTTCGATAACAAGTGTTAAATATTAAAATGAAGTTTCTAAAAAAAGCAAATTTGTTAATTATTTACTATTGATAATAATTTAAATACGTTCGAAATAATTCGGATACTAATTCGAATACTAAGTTAATAAATAATTCGAATTCTAAGATATAAGTTTATTTTTATATAGTTTAAAAATAAAAATTGCCATGTTTGTTTGAGTTATACGGTAATTTAATATACGCTAATTTTACTTTTGTTATTGAAATAAAGTTAACATTAAATTTATGCAAAGATTCATTACTTTTAGAGCATTCAGCTCTGTGTTATGTTAGAACTACCAGCTGAAAATTGTTTATGCTAATTGGATTGAAAAACCTTAACGCCCTCTTTGCAAAGGATGCATTTATTAATAGCGCTTAGAATTCTTCATCATTCCTATTAGCTTCTGTTTTAACCCCACCCCCTATGTTTTGAGTGTGTGCTTTTTCATATTTCTATTAAAATTCCCCTGAAATCCTTTGTAGTTAAAATGCTCTGCCGTTGTCGCCAAATTTTGTAATTAACGCTGTGTTCTTTTTAAACTTCTCAATTCCGTACAGTTTGTAAAAGTGCTTAGATTAATGAATTGTTGATCATGCAAATATTTCTGGATAGAAACTAATTAAAAATGTTCTTTTCCGTTTCTAAATACTTAATAATTCGCCAACCGTAGATCATGTGATTAAGAAAAAGAACTGTGCTTGGTTAAGGTGATGATATAGAAATTAGTTGTACAAAAATAATTAGTTGCTAAAGGCGATGAATGCCATATGAAAGCGATAATGAAAAGAGCTGGGGAAAAAAAATGGTGAAAAATTTTAAAACGCTACTCCAACAAGTCCCGTAGGCCGCTTTGTGAGGGAGGGGGGGTATCATACGAAAAGTTCTACGTCGTTTAATTTCATACTACTAATTTAAATACCTTAGGGTCGGTTATGGTTAGATCAATTATTCACATTCAAACAATATTCGAATGAACTACTACATCAAATAGCGTGAATTATAAATGCGAGAAAACTGTGCAGAAAAGAAAATGTTCGAATTAAAAATTCCCGCTCTCTGCAAAGAGAACTTAAAGGAAATAACAAGCAAGTTACCCTCGGAAATATCTCCAGTTACTTTTGCTCCTTTTCTGCTCGCTTTATTAATAGGTTATAGCTAATTAATTATTTATTAATACCCTGGGTGTTACTTGCGAATAATTGTAACTGCAAAACGCAATTTATTATTAATTTTAATTGTAAAAGCTCTTTTGTTATACTAAGAATCCGACGCGGGATTATTATGCTTTTCTCCGGTTTCTGTGAAAAAGACGAGAAAAGGAGTTATAGTATCTCGGGTTACAGGCATTTTCGATAAATAAATGACCACATTTTAACTTTTATCGCTCTTATTAAATATTTCTTAACCCCCTTGCGAAAAGTTCTTTCCCTATCTCTAGCGCTCCAAGAAAAGTAATTAGTACCTTAATGAACGTAGAATTAATTTTTCAGCCAAGCCTCTAGGTTTTCGACTTTTCTTCCCCCACCACTTTTCCATTTTCTTGTAAATGTGCGTCGCTCTTGAAATTTTTGAGTTTCACTTTTAATATGTCCTAAAGTTTGTCTCATTCACCGCGGAAAGAATGTTTCCATGGGGGTGGGGCATGGAATACCATGTTCTGTTACGGTAAGTTTTCAAATTGATTTCTGTCAAAGTTTGCACAAAGTGTCAGTTTTAAGTAAAAGGTGAGTTAGAGTTCTCGCCAAATTCGTTATTGCGTCGTGCTTCGATCCTATAGAAGTAACAAAAAAAAGTTAATTACAATGGTTCGAATTGTGACATTTCGGACTCTTTTCCTCATTTTCTGTTATGCAAAATATATTGAAAGGAATATATACGTTTGAATAATTGAAATATAGCTTAACTTTTGTGAAATATGCAATTTTAAAGTTATACTAATAACCATTCTTTTAGTTGGCATATTTAGAATGCAAATTTTGGCTAGAAATTTTTATGCTCGGATCAGTTGTCACTAATCAAATAACCGCTTGATGTTTAAGTATAAAGCCGAATAAGCGTTGTTTTGTGTAACTTTTAAAAATATATCAAATGTCATTTATTTCGAAATAATGTATATTGAGTCAATCAAATTAGGATTTGATATTTAAAAACCTTACAATGGTTTTAAATTGTTTCGAAAATTGAGCGACCTCAAAAGGATTTGACTTTATTTTCAGTTTTTGTAAAATGTTTGTTTTATTTATTTAAGAATGTGGCTTTTGTTTGAAAAGTCATTTTAAAGCATTCTTTCGAAACTGACGTTGAACAGCATCCTTCTTCATGTTCGGTGACCTTTATTTTACGGGCAATAGAAAAGTTGTACTTTTTCTAATATTTTGTAAATTAATATAGCGTGGTGTGAAATTTACAGAAAAATACTTAGACAACTTAAATCAGTTTGTAAAATTTAAAATCGCAATGCCAAATGACCAACTCTCTCATTTTAAGTTTATGAAACATTCCTGAAATAAAAAGTATTTTTCCAAGCGAATTGAATGCAAATTAATTAGTAAAAATAAAAATTAATATTTTACTTTCGAAGCACTACAAAAAAATTAATTTCTAGCTGGACTGTACTTTAAAATAAAAAAATGCTTAATTATATTAATTTCAAATAGCTTCAATAGTAATAGTAATTTCAATTAGCTGAGCTGGGTTTTAATATTAGAAAATAGTTTAAAAAAAGTGTTTTTTAGCTACTTTGTCGGAAAACTACTCATTGGAAAGTAGTTTTCTGGAAAACTCATTCCTTTAACAAACTTCTGAGCTTATAGTAATTTTTTGCTATCGTCTATAGAAAGGTGCATAGATTCTTATAGGTTAAACTGCACACAAAATTACTTCTATTTAGAAATAAAATCATAAAAATTACATTTATGTGCACGTAATTTTTGTGGATGAATACATTTTTATTACATTTGAATACATTTTTATTACTCTAACCATAAAATAAAAATCAACAATTTTTAGTTGAGTTAAAGGAAAATAACCAACCCGACCCTATTATTTTAAAAGACAAAATACAAGAGTAAAATTCTTAATATAATTTCTAAAATACCAATTGATGCATCAGTAAGAAACTGATTCATGTGCATGCTATGAAACAACCAAAAGTTTGTCATCTAAAACCGCCTTAGATTTCAATCTTATTAAAGTTAACAATTCATTTTTCATATTATTCTTTCATTGATTTTTAGGGGTTGAGATTTATCTGACGAAAGCAATATTTAATTTTAAATTTTTCTTAACTTATCTAATAAATTGAATCTCATTACATACT